AAGACGGCGATAATTTACCAGTGGAATGTTGAAAAAAGGGTATAAAGAAAAAATGGACTCGGGGTTCTACACTAGAGACTCAAAACGGAGTTCTAAGGATATAAAACACTGAATGAAATACTTACGGTGGTCGACAGAGCTTCTCGCAACGTGGTTCGGAAAAGGAAAGCGACGAGTTCTGCGCAACCTAAGAGGGGGTGCAAATCAATTGTTAGATTGCCCAGACCATGACGGAAGTAACTCTGAAATTTTAGGGTGTGTGACGGATGTAACATCATCCATTAGCAAAGCTCTCTTTCTGAGAAAAATATACGCAAGTGTTATTTAAAGCGATTTTTGTTGAACAGTAAAAAGATTATTTTGCGATCTTATAGCATTCTTTTCTTCGGCCATAGCATGTTTTTTTTTTCTAAAGGTCTCTTAACATCTGAAAAAAAGCCTCGCGCACATACCTTGGAAGACTGGGTATTAGTGAGTCCCATCGATGCTGGGAGAGTGGCAAAGTTGTTGGGTCAGGTAAGTATGTTCCGTTTTCTCTACTTCAAATACCACAGTTGTTACAATGGAAGCTCCAATAGCTTTCATTGTTCAGGTTATGTACCTTGTATTTTTGCACTGTACTGTTGTGGAATCTTTTATTACAGAATGACGAGTTTGGTTGTTGATATCGACAAAGATTCCCTTGAGCGCCTCCGTAGAAACTAAAATCTTAATTTAAGAATTTTCGTCTTACCTCAGCACCAGAACAAAAGCTGACGTAAGTTGTCAGCTATTATTCTGGTGCTGAGGTAAGACGAAAAATCCTAAATTAAGATTTTAATTATTACTCTCTAGAGACCTCTAAAAGTTTGAATATTGTTGTCTAATTCTGTGTTCAGTTCTCGGACTAAATTGTGATCGTGTACTGTGGAGGCTATAATAAAACTCTCGCTGTTTTGACTAAGAAAATCTTTTGGATATTATAGAATTTCATCATGTCGTCGTATGATTTCCATGTTGTGTACGCGATACAAGCTAATTTAAGCTTATACATTGCTCAGTTGCAGAACCAGGACAATTGCAGGGCCTCATACTTTTTTGATACCTTCCTGTCATGATCAATGATCATCCTAATAAATGGGACAACTCTAATATTCCTCAGACTTTGTTGAAGCAAAATTTGTCCAGAAAATTACCAGGCATTTTAATTTGTGGCCTGTGGACCCAACCAAATAATAATGGGCAACTTTTCTTGGAACTTACCACACAGCAATATATGACATTGCAAATTGAAGATCGCGATCATTGTGAATGTTGCTATTTGTGTTTCAAGTCGTGGCAACATGTTTTGCAAAGTTCATGTGAATAAACCTCTCTCAACAACTTGCATCAGTCATAAAAAAACACTTTTCAACTTGCCATGATAAACATTTGGTGGATAACAAGTTGCAAGATATTTTGAATATTGACAGGCTAAAAATATATTTTAGGAATATGACATCAAGAGGGCAAAGTGAGACACAAAAGTTGAAGCAGAACCTAGGTGAACAGCTTGATCGCCTTGTAGCCCAGCTGTCAGATTTAGAAGAATGCAAGTAAGTTTGTTTGAAAACTCTTTCTTTTGAAAGTTTGAAAGTGGCAAGCTTGTACATTTTCTTGAATGATTGTCACTAAGGCAGTAGGGTTTAGGTTGTAGATTCCTTCAAAGCATTACTTTAAGGCAGTCAAATGTTAATATTATATTCTGCAACTGATATTGAAAGTAAATTAACTTAAATTATTAGCAGAGCTTCATGGTGGCCAAGTGCAGTACCATATATAACTATAGGAAAAGAACCATGTGCATGCACAGAAATAGAAAACCATGCAACTTTTTATCGGTGGTCATCACTGCTAGTGGCATGGATCGTGGGTGCGTGTCCCCTACGATGACAATGACAATATTGTCCAACATGGTGGCCATTCTTCAGCTAATAGTTCGCCTGAGGCATGCATATATTGGGCAGCCATGTTATGGTCAATTGACACCTGTCAAAACAAGGTATCCACTGATCGTATTGCAGGCTCAGGTTTAGAGCACATTTGTTTTTTTTGTGTTGGTGGCTGCCCAGGTACCGTTTTCAACTGGATTTGCTGGCTCAAGCCAGGTTAACTTATTATAATCAGGAGCTCCACTTTAAGGCTTGGCTGAATCTATATATTATTGCTAGTAATAGAAATTTTCTTCTTTGCATCCTTGTTATTTTTCAAGGGAAGATTTAGATGAGGATGAATATGAAGAAACAAAGAAAGAAACACTGGAACAACTGAAAGAATTCAAGGACGCATTGGACAAATTTGCTGCTGGAAATGTGACCCTAGTTGACGAAATAAGTAGCATGCAGTTGGTAAATAATATGTTAAAAGGCTTCTTACTTTGTTATCAAACCAATCATGAAGCACCATGCTCAAAACTTTTTCTTAATTTAACATCTTTAATTAAAAGTAGAACTTTTCAATTCTTTGATAGAAATAAGTTAATTAGCATCTCTCTCATATGTCAACCAATCTTAATAATACCATTATCTCTTTCTATCACCAACATGACAGGCAATCCAGGCAGCTATAAGTGAAGCTTTTAAGACACCAGAAGTCATTCGTCTGTTCGCAAAGAAACAACCAGGCCAGCTGAGACAGAGACTCGCAGAGGTAAGAAGAAAATGACTTAATCATCTTGTGGGAGATTAAGGTAAAGTTATGCTGTAAAGTCTGCCGTTAAGCATGCCAGCTCAAGTACAGTTAATTTCTAAATTTAACTCTGATTTTGTGTTATGAAGTGTTTGCCACTCAATTAAGCACTTTTTAAGATATTGCATTTTTTACATACCTTTGTTATACTTTTATTATTTCCCATAATGCCCTTAGGCTTATTACAGGCCTGCAAAGACAAAGCAAAAAGCTATGTAATAAACAACTTATTAACCTCAAACGTTCAGTCTTAATGGGAAAATTTCAAACCTTGGCCTTGCTGAATGTATTGATGGAGCAATTGGCAAGGTCTTGGTTTGAGATTTTCCCATAAAGACCTCACTCTTGGCTAATAAGTAGTTAGTAATATAACTGTTCAACCCCCTTCACTGTGAGAAAAAGTAATTTTAATTAATTTAAGAAATATTAACTTTTGCAAGCAGAGCCCTTGGGTCCAATAAATGTTCAACAGTTATTAAATTAGGTATTTCACTGGCTGGTATAACTTTTCTTTAGATGCAAAGAGATCTTAAAACTGGTCATCTGAGTCAAGCAGCTTACACACAACAAGCAGTGGAGATTTTAACAGCCTTAAAGAAGCTTGGAGAGCAGGTACACATTGAAAAATAATTTGAAAATATACCATAGGTGATAATTTACTGCAAATATTTTATAACACTCACAGTAATTGAAAGCTTAGTGGTCAATGTGAGTAGAACTTAATCTGTTCCTACCTCACATCAGCAGGGTTATTTGGTCATTTTTAAATGACCAAATAACTTATTTAATTATTATTAATGATGTTTCTTATTGATCTACAAGTACCCTTCAAATTATCTCTGGAGTGATATATATATATATATATATATATATATATATATATATATATTTATTACATTACAAACAATTTGGTTATAAGTGCAGTTTTTAATATCTATTTCAGCTAACACCTCAAGAAGCTGAATTTCTGGCTGTGAATACCAATGCAGCTTTAAGTTCCTTTGAAAAAGTTTCAGAAAACATGGGTAAGGTGGTCATTCACCAGTAAATTAAAAGGATATATTTTTTCATATTAAACATATTGTCATTGTTTTCCCCAAAAGCACCTAGGATTATCAAGGGGGATTACAATATCTTTGTTTACATAATTTACGTTTATCAAATTAGCTGACTGCTTATTCTACTTTCAAGCGTTATCCCACTGAGCTCTAGATGTAACGTAGAAAGTGGCTAAAAGAGTAAATTTTTTGGTTGTCTCCAGTGACAGGCAAATTTCAGGAAATCTTAATTCACTGGTCAGGCGATTCTTAATTGAGACTTTTTCAGATGGCTCCAAGGTTTCCCAATCAGAATATTTTTACTTTATTGTTAAGTATAAATATGTGTACCAGGGACGTTTTTAAACTGCAAGTAAGACAATTCTGTTGCCAAACAGATAGGTCCCATTTGATAGATATTTATATAAAGGACTGTATTATGCCAGTGAAACCTGAACATTTCAAATGGAAACCCTGGTTAATTGCTGTATAGAGGTGTCTATAGACAGTTTAATTTTACAGAAAATTTGGAAGTAAAGTTTGGGAATTACTGACGGTGGTGTTCATGTAAGACTTGTGTCCAGTAAATACTGGTTTGACTGTGAGTAATCAAATGACTTTTTACAGTGTATGTCCACCACTCTTTACCCGTCATGATGTCTTAATTTTCTTGTGTTCATTAATGCGCTTATTTTAACATTTTAATGAGTTTTGCTTAACTCTTCCAGGAAGTGGTGATAAACTCCTTAAAGTGGCTGGTTCCCAAGTCGAGGATGCTCAGAAGTAAACTGTTGACTCTTGATACTAAATGGATTCATGATGCAAATGATACTGTTATTACAAATCTGCGTTGATGTCATGACACTCTGTATGAACATTGTTAGTTTCTCTTACAGCAGACTCAACTTGTTGGTAGACAAAAATGACTACACCAAGCAGAATTGTGTGTACGAAGAAAATTACTTATTAAAAAATTCATCATCATCAGTCTTCATCGTGCCATCAGACGCATAAGACCTTTTAAAAAAAATAGTTCAGTGCTTACTACAAGAAACTTAATAATAATAATAATAGACTTGTATAGCGCTAGAACTAGACAAACATACTCAAAAGCGCTTTACATTAAGTTAAAATAAATGAATAAATGGAAATCACTAAACTTTAAAACTATTACAACAACTATGCTAAACTTTAAAACTATTTCCACAAGTCAAAAGCTTTCTTAAAAAGAAATGTTTTCAGTTGCTTTTTGAAAATGGTGAGGCTGCTACTTGTTCTTATAGTTAATGGCAGCGAGTTCCATAAGACAGGTGCAGCATGAGCAAAGGCCCGATCCCCAAGTGTAGAGCAGTTGACTTACAGGTAGGATATATATACCTGGAACCCAGATGGAAGGTCCTGCATGCAGAGAGTGAGGAAAAATACAGCAATTTATCAACAAGCGAATAATGGCTTGATTTGCCACCAATCCATATAACTTACATTAAAAATATGTGCAATTAGGAGTATAAGTGAAATGACATTTTGTTCTTGGGGCTGAATACCCTGGGTCCCAGAGGGTTCTTTTGGAGGGCAGCAAAGCCACTTCCTGTGAGTGACAAAGCAGCAGTATCACGCTTTAGCAATTCACTGCTCCTTGTGTGAAAGAAAAATAAAACCCGTGGCACTCGGGGTTAGGTCTGAAAGGATTGAAATGCTGTTTTAGGCAAGCCGTAAAATATTATTATGCACCAGTTCACGTAGCTGAAACAAATTCTCAGTCCATTAGCTACAGTAGGCTTAGGAGGCTCAGGGTGCAACATTTAAATGTTTTTGAAGCTTTGGGGTACCTATAGACAGGTTTTTTGTGACCTGAATAATCACACCTTGCCATGATCAAGTTTTATAGATTATTGTTTAGAAATTTTCATGTTTCAGCTAACTTCATCCATTGAATGACGTGTAACCTTAAATAACAAACTCAGAAAATCATGGGAAAGAGCTTTTATCTATAATGGCCTGTTTGAGCTCAACTTATTGTAATCACCAGTAGTCAACAAGTTAAAGTTTTACCTGCATCTTACTTTTCATCAACTGTTGGCTTATTACTAAGTGATGTAGAGAGGTATGTTTTGTAAGTGAGCTTCTATTTAAGTAGAAAATACATGAAATTTGTGAACTTGGCTCTGTCATTTAAATGGGGGGATGTATGTTTTCAGTATTTTCTCTAAGGTTTGTTAAAACGTGTTGTTTGAGAAATACCACAAAGGTTTATTTCCATATGAATGCCCATCCGACAGCAAAAATTATTTCAGTTTAACTTCACCCTTTCGAACTTTCAGACTTTGATGTTAAACTCTTGAAATTATGAAAGAAACCCCGCAAAGGTACCAGGTTCATAGATTTTTTAGGGTCAATGATGTGAAAGGTACAGGAAGAGCTTGTGCTCAAAAAAGAAACGAGTGAAATAGCATGGCAATCACCCCTGTCACTTTTACTACAGAAGACTCTCACTGAGTTTGGGAGACCACATTCTTCCAACTCTAGTAAAATCATGGGCAATGCTCTTTGGTTTATTGTAACGTTTTGATTTTCCAGAAAGTTATTAAGTCACTTCCCAAATTTGTTTAAATTCTGATAAAAAAACTTACTGTTCTCCCAAATAGCCATTATTGGGGTGATTGCAGCTCATTTTCTAGGAAGAGGGGAGGGGGGGAGGGTAGCAAACACTATTTGGGATAAAACAGACTTTCCTTCTGAAGTTTACTGTAATTACTGTGAATGGAGAGTAATAATTTTCCGGCAGGTGTAGGTAAGACTCGCGTGAATACACAGTCAAGCATTGAGCTGAGGTCAGCAGTTTTGCACAGGTATAAAACCCACGAAATATAACTTAAAATAAATAAAGTATAGCAAAGCGGGCATGCTACTGAGAAGTGTTACCATCAAATATTTGCTGAAAATGACATTGTGTAGCAGTACTGACTTAAGCTTATTTGTACTTTATCGACATTGTGTCCTAGAACGCACCTGTGACATTGTTCTACAGAGGTCACGAAAGGAAACTAAGGCAAAATCTGAAAGAAATGTTTGCATCCTCGGGAATTTTAGAAACCAAAATCTTGCCCGAGAAACATTAAATATGCAAGCCGTTTCAGATTCTAGTTAATTCCCTTAACTGATAATTGAAATGACCAATATTTCGAATTCGGTTCACAGTTGCTTAGCGTTGTCTTGCCAGCAGGCCTGCTTCAAATACTCCTGTGTTGCAGGTGAAAGATTGACAAATGTTCCATTTTCTGATTTTCTATTAATCGAAGAAAGACCGCCAACTAACAGGTTGATTTGAGATGCATGCAAATCCAATTTTAGCGGTGCGGTAGCATGTCTTTGTATGCGGATTTTCTATTGTTTTCAACCACAAAACTTATATTGAAATTTTCCATGCGGGTGTGAAAACACGTGATAGGTGACGTCACGTTTCTTTGGCGTGAGCCGAGAAAGGAAGACGATAGCTGAGTATTGGATTACATTTTGACGACGAGATTTTATTGCGACCTTTCTTCTCCGATTTCAAGTTGTGGGCTGCCGAAAATGCTGCTGCTGTCGTCTCGAACGATTGTCGCAACTTTTCTAAGTGTTTTGGTCGCTTTTTGTTCGGGTCTGGAGTTTAAGGAAAGAGGTAAGTGAAAGAGGTTAAGCAATTTGGAACGTGCGTTCGTTCAATTCAGTCTGACAACGCGCTTTTTTGTACCTGCGTTTGAACTGGCCTCATGTGCAAGAGAAGTTACATGCTAGAAGTCGTGTTCTTCGATTACTGGATACTTTAACTTGGCCGTGAACAATTTATCTGGGGGTAACTAAGGGCTGTTTACTCAGAACAGTTAGTTTTTTTCGATTTAATCACAACAGGGATGCCAAATTCGAAAAGTAGTTAGTTTTTCGAAATTCCAAGCTTGATATTGTACATTTCTTGTTTACTTAGCTTTGATTTTGTGTTCTAAATCTTCAGAACCGTTTTACCTAAGTGATTTTAACCTTTCCTTGCCCAGCCTTGAAGTGCCGAAGGTTTTGTTTGCGACTTTCAAGGATGACAACCCGCGCCATATTGCATAAAAATTTACATGTATACAACAGGCCATTAAGAAACTTATGCTCAATCATTTGCTTTCTGTTACGAAAAAGTTTTTTATCTGTACAGCAATCTTCCTCATTTATATTTGTCTCGAATTTTAATGCTTTTGCTAAGTTTGAAAGTCTTGGAGTGGATTTAGATGCCAAAGCAAAGTACTCCGTCAGGGAACACGCCACACTACTTCGATTTCTCTTCATTAATTTCGAAGGCATTCTTTTTGAGTCGAACAATACTTGTACTTCGCTAATCTGGAACCGGTCAAATAAGACTGTACGGTTTTGGGTCTGCCAGAGACAAATCTCGGTTTATTATTTTCGCCCTCATTCGTTAGTAAAGTATATAAGGCAGTGTCAGGAAGGTTTCGGGATGATCTTCTAAGCTGCTTTACACATCGCTTTGTAATATTTGAACAGACATCTAAAAACTAATTAAGTCTGCAGAATTCCTTTTCGTGCTCCATTGAGTTCAGTCAATTTAAGGCCAATCTAATCTTCATTTCTTAAATGCGTTCATGGATATTTTGTAGGTTGAGCCAAATTCACTGTCGGGATTTGTTTAAATTGTCTCTCTCTGGCAAACTCTGTTAATTTTTCGTCTTTCCCAGAACATTATGGTTTTTTTTTTAAGTTTTGCTTGAAATTTCATTAGGTTTGCATCTCTTATTTTCATTACTGCGGAAAGTGTGCATTGCTGACAAGCACTAGAACAAGATTTCAGTCTGCCTCAAAAGTAAAATTATCCATACAAATTTGTGATAAGGTTGAAATATGATACTTATTTCCTTATAGTCAAGATAAGTAAAGATGTAGATCTGGTAGTCAGACATATACGTGATTATAACCACATCAAGAAATAAGAATTGCATGCTAATATTTAGACCAGCTTATCTTTTATTCCTAACATTTTGACCAAGGTAGAACATGGCACAGAAAATATTGTTTGTTTTGGAATAACATGAAAGATAATTTGATTTTTCTCCTAATAAACGTGTCATTATTAGTATTCATAATATGTCAACTGAACATTGCTCATAAGGGTTAATATTGAGGGATGCAGATTTGCTGTTGGTAGCTTTATGCAGTTTTCCATGGCTGTTTTCTCAGAAATGCCTCACAGAGCTTTATAGTCTTAGAGGCAGTGCATTAAAATATAATCTTGAGTGATTCTGCCCAGCACAAAAATGCACTATAGGTAGGCTATGCTTCTTATAAGAAGTAGCGATTTCCACAGACTTAAGGCCTATCAAAAGCAAAACTTAGAAATGTAAGTTTGAAATAGCAATCGCTGAGATCCTTGTGACTTAATGGATACATCTGCAAAAGTATATTTCTAAGGAATTTGTGATTTTCATTGCTTGAACCACAACAGTTTAGTCTTACTTAATAGCATCTGACAATTTATTTTGTTTCTGCAGGGTTTGATTTTGTGCAAGACGAGTATGCCCGTGCCATTACAGAGTATCATGCTGTTAATAAGACTGTAATGCACATCAGAGCTGTTGGTTGCGAAGGGCCTGTCAAGTACACCATCAACGAACCAGACACTCCATTCGAGGTTGATGAGAATGGACGTATTTGGCTCGTTAAGCCATTAAACTATAATAAAGCAAAATCCTACATCCTCAACGTGAAAGCTGTTGCCGGAGGTGGTAAATGCATCGCCCATGCAAAGGTCGACTTTGAAATTCTGAACATGAACAAGCATGCACCGAGATTTGAGTTTGAGAAGTACAGCTGTGATATTATTGAGAACACACGTGATCTCCGGATTAATCCACCAATGAGGGTTCTAGACGATGACTCAGGAGAAGCAGGCAAGGTGAAGAATGTAACCGTTGTCGAGTCTGGTCTGCCATTTGTCTTCACAGTTGATGAAAAGGGGAATGTCCAGGGAAGAGCAACGAAAGACATGGATGCTGAAGATATTACCGATTACTTCTTTGACATCATTGCTTGGGACAGTGGAAAGCCCCCCAAGTCATCTTTTCCCATCAGCTTAGAATGTGAAGTTGATGATGTGAATGAGTTTACACCACATTTTACAAAAGACACCTATGAGGCAACGATAAGCCGTGGTAGAACATATACCAATATCACACAGGTAAGATTTATTTCAGGTATGGCCTGGGTTGTTCGAAAGGTGGATAACACTATAACTATTCAGAAGATAGCATGGTTTGTTTTGTTGACTTTTATCCGCAAGATAGTGATTTATCTGGTGGATAGGGTTATCCAGCCTTTGAACAACTGGGGCCTGGCTTCTATTAATCTGAAATTTTGATCTTGGGACTATCATTGGTTAGAGCTAAGTAGAGTGTATCATGAAAAAAATACAGTTTCTAATTATTGGGTATCAAACATTGCATTATCTACAATCAAACAGTGGATGTTGAAGAGATAGAAGCTTGAGCGTTCACATCTAAACTGCAGCACAGTTGAAATTGTTTTAAGAAGATGTTAAAATGTTTTCAGTTCTTTTGTTTTGGGAACTACTTGCTTGAATCCAGATTCAAGGCAATCAAATCTACTTGATTTTGTAGAATGGGTATCTGGCTTTTGAAGAGACTTATGTCCCTATCGGCTTTCCAAAAATGTTTACCTGTGGCTGAGTTCTTATGGTCAATTATACATCAGTGAAAGTATCAAGCTGTGTAGATTGTTAAATACGCCTTAATTTGGTTTTCAGGTTTTTGCTGAAGATGAAGACATTGGTATTGTCAGTGGTCGTGTTTGCAAGTACACCATTGAAGGTTACAATCTACCATTCAAGATCAATGATGCAGGTGTGATCAGCCTTGACGAACCCTTGGGACGTGATGCCTATGACGTGTATGAATTCCAAGTGGATGCGATCGATTGTGGTGGATTGATGTCAACAAAAAGTGCCGTAGTATCAATCTCTATTCACACCCTGTGCCATGAAGGTATGTTCTGGTTTAAAACTTTACGATGGCTATCTGCAGCTTGTTTGAGTAACTAGTGAACCATTTACAATTTGCTATTATGTTTGTATGTTATATTTGTGTCATTAATTATTCATAAAATAGGTCTGGGCTATTGTTTTATATTTTTTTATGAGAATTCATGAGAAAGAAACTGTCTACTTTTTGTAAATTATTTACACCCTCAGTTTTGAAATGGCATCCATTTAAACTTCAGACAGAGATGTAAAAAAAAATTGAAATAAATGCTGTTGTTGTCATTTTAAGATTGCCTCCCAGATTAAGTTTTTACAATGTGATTTAGATCATATGCATGTACCGAGTTAGCATGTTGTTCAGGCAAACAGGCATTTTGCAGGAATGTAGCTGAGAAAACATTACACTGGCTCATTGACAATCCCAGCCGGCTTTTCTGCTCCTTAGAGCTCCAAAACTACCTCAAAGTTTGTTTTTGTGTGAAATTCAGCTGGATTAAAGGTCGTTTTCAGCCAGTGAAATAAGCCGGCAGCCGGCCGTTGGCTACCTCACTGCATTTTTGTCAACAGTTGATCTAGAATCCAGCATGCTAACATTAGCCCACTGCATCATCCAGGACTGGTTAGCTTCCTATCGAAATGGAAAACAACTTGTTGTAACTGAAACTGTGGGTTAAATGCCATCAGTAACAAATGATTAAATCCCTCTTTTTTTGTATGATTTTAATATACAGTGGAACCCCGTTTAAATGGTCACCAATGGGCCATGAAAATTTGGCCGTATTAATGGATGGCCATATTAACAGGGTAGGGTCAAATTTCATGACTGGTCTAAATTGAGGGATGTCTCAACAGATATATCACAATTGCGCTTCTAAACAACTGATCTTAAACAACAATTGGGAGTGCAGGTATAATTTTAAAGAAATTGAAACGTCGATTAGTTCAGACAAAATTAACATTGGAAAGATGAACATATTGTAAAGGTTAGGATTTTACAATGTGGCTGTTGGCCATATAATGGGGTAAAATTATAAAGCACTATACAGGTTGGGATTTTACAATGTAGCTGTTGGCTGTATAAACGGGGTAAAATTATAAAGTGTTATAAAAGTTGGGATTTTAGAATGTGGCCGTTAGCCGTGTTAACAGGGTGGCCACATTAACAGGGTTTTCTTATAAGAAAATGTATCGTGGGCATTTCACCCTGACAAGAACAAATAGTGGCCAGAATAACAAGGTAACCGTATTAACAAGGTGACGGTAAGGCAGGGTTCCACCGTATTCACCTTCACTTATGATATCAATATGCTATATATCTTTCAGAATTTACTGGACCTGTTAAACATGGGCTGACAATGCAGCAGTGTACAGGGAAAGTCTACGTCACTCCTGATATTGCACTGAATGAATGTGCGAAAAAGCAAGAAAAGGCAAACTTGTCTGCCATAGTTCACTTGGTGACTAATGCTGGCATGGGCTGTGACAGGGATACTTACGAAGCATCTGATGCATTCACGCTCTGTGGGCCAAATGGCTTTGTTGATCTGCTGCCCCAACCAGGAGTCGGCAGAGAATGGACAGAGGGGCTCAAAAAGAATAGTAAAGGTATGTTGGTACTTGTAATTAAGAGAACAAACATCCTTTGCATCAACATAGCCATGGAGAAGCTGTAAGAAACCATCTTTAAACAATCTATCATGCTGTCAAAATCTGTTATAACATAGCGCCTGCGCTAGTCCTATCTAATTCCTATTGAGCCGTCATGAACAAAATCATGTATGCACGGCTGTGCATATATAAGATGACATGTGCAATTTCAATATAGCTGCAAAATTTCCATCAAGTCTAGTGGAATTTCTTTTTGTGTAAGTTTCGGCAAAGTGAAGATTACTCTGAACAATCCAAACTCTACTTTGAGCCTTTGACTTTTCGGCAAGCTAAGATGTTTACTTAAACCTGAGTATTTTGACTTTGCTTGTCTACATTTTCATTGGGTATTTTTGACTTTGTTTGCCTACATTTTCATTATAATTAATTCAAAGAAGCTTGATTTTAAAAATGAGACATTTCAATGTTCTTTTTAGAGCCAGGACTATCAATTGGGGCTGTAATGTAATGTCATTAAAAAAAAATTTGAATAATGACTGTAATCCATAGCACCTGTTATGGCTTAGCTTGCTTGATGGGCCCTTCATGTTACGGGTGAACTTGCCTGTAGTTGATACAATTCACCCATAAAGTAGCAAGTTTGTTACGGGTGTGAAGATCAAGGCTACAGTTGAATCAAATCTTGAAACAAAACTCAAATCAAGACAAGCCCTGAAAGAAAATCTCAAACAAAGTTTATGAGCAACTTCTGGCATTTTGAAGTTTTGTGGAAAGTTTGAGCCAATAACCCATGTAGATCATAATTAAACTTTTCTTGACACAACAAGGTTTGCTCACCTTTTTTCACTTTTCTGTTTTTTCTTTAGAAGAGAATGCCTTTTTGTTCGATGGGAAAAAATCATATGTAAACATCCCTGAGAATGTATTGCCAGAAGACATTGGTGATAAGTTTACCATCAGCACCTGGATCAAGACAGGGGTGTCAAAGGGTCGTCAAACCATCCTGGCTGGTACTGACAAGGAACGTCTTGATCGCGTACATTTCTCTCTGTCCATTTCTGGAACCAAGCTGCTGTTTGTGCATCGACCTGAGGCCAACCATGCTAGCCGCGACCTCTACTGCAAGACAGATTTCCAATATAAACCCGCCATTTTTGATTCTGAGTGGCACCATATCTTAGTGATCGCTGATGGGTGTAATGCCAAGCTGTACATCGATGGAAAGCATCACACACCAGTTGTCACTGAATCTGACTGGACCCTGCACAAGTCAAAGTTGAAAATCAAGTTGACTGTTGGTGCCCGTTATCTGGCCAAGGAGAAGATTTATACTGAAAATTTCTCTGGATTCTTGTCTGGATTAGCGGTCAGGCCAAACAACACTGTTGATGAACAGGTAAAAGATGCCTTCATTGTTTTTTATGTGTCTATAGCTACAGTCAAATGGGATGTTTTTTCGTTGGGAATTCTGCCGTGTTGTGGCAGAGTGTTCCAATATTGATTGTCTGTTTACTTGATGCAACTCAAATTTGCATAATCGATTTAGTTCAAACCGTTAATTGTAGTGAAGGTTATGGCTATTGTGTAAATTATTACAATCAGATGACTTCTTGTCCTTCCTTTTTGAACTTTTCACTGATCCTTTAAAAACAATAATAAGATCTCACTAAGTACATGGGCTTCTTGTCTTCTGCAGGTCATAAATTGTTTGATTGGATGCAAGGAACATGTGAATGTGGATGGCCCACTACCCCCAAATTTCTCCGCAGAATCCATTGATTTTGGAACCGTGAAAATCACTGGAGTTGGAACACCAAAAGATATTGTCAAGGCCCTGCAAAGTATTGTCTATGTTAACGAGAGGATGATGCCAACACCAGGAAAACGTTCTGTGATGATCTTGTCCATGTTCAACCAGATGCCACTAGCAACTGTCACTGTCGATATCAACGTCGCAGGAAACACCAGGCCAGTGTTAGTCATCCAAGGTTTGGATGCAGACATTGGTCTTAACTGGGAGAAGAGAAAGATCCTCAAAGAAAAGGGTTTGCGCATCTTCGATTCAGTTGAAATTGAATATGAAGGCTGTAAGAAGGGTGACAATACACCAGTTGACAAAGTACGCTTGTTAGATCAGGCAGTGGTCAGAGTCAACCCGGCGTTCAAGAAAGGAGAGAGCTTTAACTTTCCGCAGGGCATCAAGGGCTTGAAGGAAAAAGGCTTGAGTGTTAGTTTCAACAATGAGGAGTTGGTCATCCGAGGAATTGCCCACTTCTCAGAATATGAAGATGTTCTTCAGCAGATGGTGTATGTGAGCCTGGTTCCAAAAGATATCCTACATCTTGAAATCTCTGTAAGTCTTGTCAGTGATAAGCATTGACTCCACCAAAAAGAATGGAGGTGCGGTGGCCTCATGATTAGTGTGCTTGACTCCGGATCGAGTGGTCTGGGTTCAAGCCCTGGCCGGGGACATTGTGTTGTGTTCTTGGGCAAGACACTTTACTCTCACAGTTCCCCTCTCCACCCAGGTCTGTAAATGGGTACCGGTGAATTTGATGCTGGACATAACCCTGTGATGGACTAGCATCTCATCCAGGGGGGAGTAGAAATACTCCTAGTCGCTTCATGCTACAGAAACGGGGATAAGCTCTGGCCTGACAGGCCACTTGGTTCATATGCAGACTTCACCTTTACCTTTTACCACCAAAAAGTGATGTTGAGAAATGTGCAGGGGTTTCATTAAGGGCTAGGCACAGAGCAAATTGACCAGCTGTGTGGATGTTTTTTTCCACCTGGTGTGACCATCTAGAGGAAATGTTTTCTTATAAAGAAGTTCAGTTCAAAAATTTCACCCTCCTGTAAAAACCACTTGCCCTCCCACTGAAAATGTTAATGGAACCCCTGGCATTGACTCCACCAAAAGATGATGCTGGGAAATGTGCCAGTTTGTTTTCAGTTTGCCACACATTTGTCTGTAGTACTGAGTTTAAGAAGGTCCTAGAAAACTAAGTTTAACAAGATACTTCTCAATTTTTCTTTTCTTAATGAGTAACTTCTGAGAAGTCACTTTTGTGATTAAAACTAACAATTAAAAGCCACAATGTTTTAACCTCTCGGAGGCCATTTTCAAGTGCAAGTAAAAATACAAAATTAACATAAATGATCTGTTTCTAACAGTAATCTTTTTCCTTTCTTTTGCAACGTATCTCAGGTTTCCAGATGGTGTAAATTTCCAAATCAAATTTTATGAAAATTATTTCATATTAGTTTTCCAGTGGGAAGCTCTACATTTGGCTTAAACTAAGGTCAATAATGAATAAGAAAGGCAGATTGGCCATTTGTCATTCTTTTTTTATGTTTTAATCAGCGGTGAAGCCATTATTGTATGAATGAGTTTTTGTCAAATTTCTAACTTTGTAGGTCTCTGTGTCCACAATGAATGGCAAGTGTAAAAGTGATGAGGAACGACGTGATATCAACACCATTCATACCAACAGAGGATTAGATGAGTATGGAATCAAGGCTGCTGAGAGCAGTCAGAAAGAAGAACTAATGCCAGGGATGGTTTCCATGGAGAATGTTATGGGAAGCACGTCGTCAGGAGGATTCTCCAGCGGCGTCATGGCATTGATAATTATTTGCAGTGTGTCCATCTTTATCTTCCTTGTGGTGATCGGCATCTTCAAGTACAGACAGTAAGTTCACAGCTCTTGTATCTTGCATTGAGCCATATCTGCTTTGTGAAAAGACCAGGAGCCTTGGTAATTTTTGAACCTGAAGCCATATTTTGAGATCTAAATCTAAGGAATAGTAGTACAAGTTTTAGCTCAAAAACCCATCCATTCTTCTATTCATTCCATTCCATTCTTTTTGTTCCCTGGTATTTCTATTGTTTGAAACTCTAAACCATTAATGTCTTGATCTTGAATGTAAACACTGCAAACGAAGAAAAGCATTTCAGGATCAGTAACTTCTGGGACTTTCCAGAAAGGGGCTCCTGGGCATTGAAATCAAGATTACCAAGCATTTAAGTGATTTATATCAGCCACGCTATCATAAAATAAGTCTGCAAATTGTACTGTCGTACTTACTAAAACTAAAAAAGTGATGTAGTCAATTTGTCATTTCTTTATCAAAATTACAGAATGCTTTTGCACATTCTGAATTACGGTTTACTATACATTCTTGTGAACTGGAGGAATCTTTTCACTGGACTCACTTCTTTGGAATTGTTAATAAATTTTACTACTCCATTTCCTGTAAGAAGCAACCATGGGTATTCGTAGTGTACTCCCTCACTTTGGGATGCTTGCCCAGTGCAGACTGCCTCCTCCCTTCTCTATGTCATGTTACTCTGGCATTTTTGCATGTGCTTATGGGAAGGAAGATACCCTATGAAAATTGTGTAGTTAGTGTGAGAATGCAGATCAAAATTAACAGCCCTACCTAGGTTTAGCTAGACTCAACACATGATCATTGTTGTAAGACATTTTATAAGTTGTATTATTTCACTTTTGAAGGAGGCCTCAGACTGTAAAGGTTGTTCCTCCTGGAGACGACAAAGAAGAAATGTACTGGGATGATACCGGTCTGAGTGGTGTGCGTATTACACTTAATCCCATGCAAAAGTTCCAGGAACTTGACCTGAATGAAGACGGCAATAACACTGACAAGTCTGACACAGAAGATGAAGAAGGCAAAGCGACCAAGGGTCTGCTGGAGTGGGATAATTCTGATATCTAGACTGCTGGGTCCATGCCAGTTCAAACTAACTTGTTTTATTTTGATCAACATACTGCTAACCAAATGTTTCACACCACTTTGGGTTTAAGGATGTTTTGTTGTCAACTGGTGGTAATGCAGTGAGCAAGTGTGTTAAATTTACAAAATGTGCCAACGTTTTCCAAAGACTGAACTCCACTTTGTTTTTGTCATAAATCAAGTTCTAAAATACCCGATAGTCACTGGAGTCTTTACTTCAAAGGTATTTGTGGGCCCAAGAAGCATGGCTAAACTGAAACATTTGACTTGTTGAGGTTTATTGCTTAGAGTTGTCACTTCTGGTGTCTGATGATTCAAGTGAACCGTTCGTAATATAGGGGCGTCTGTGCTCAATGTTGATTTGGTACTTAAAGTAATAATGGCATTACTGCTCAAAACCCCATTAGTAATAAGTTTTTAAATTAAACCAGAGTTGAACCAGTTTATCATTGTTCACTATTTTGACACAGACAAGTTTTTTTATGTCGTTTCTATTATGCACTGATTTGTTGTTGGTTTTCTGGCTGGGATATTGAAAGCTGATTGTTCCGAAGTTAGTTCAAGTTCTTTTTTTCCTCCACAGCACGTTGTCTTGTGTTTCTTTTTGTAGAATTTGTAATATTGTTTTAGCATCAACATATTTATACACAGTAAGTGTGTACATTAAGATAATCTTCTCATGAAGGTTGGTAAGATTCTCTGTGATTTTGTAATTGTAGCAATGCAATAACCGTAACGAAAAATTGAAGCAGATCATTTGGAAAAAAGCGGTATGCAGGCAGTGTTCAGTGTGAATAAATAATTTCCATCAAATTATACTGTAATCTTATGTAAGCTGACTTTCTTGGGACCAGCATGAATGTCTACTTATTAACATGTTAAATGTTGGTGAGTGGCCAGGACGAGGACTGAGTGAGTGTTTGGGAGAGTTGCCTATGCGAGAGGGTCTTGTGGTTTAACTGTGAGAGGAAACAGTGATTTGTAGGGTATAACTGGAAATGTAATCTTGTTCATCTAGTATTTGAACAAATATCACATAAGCTACTGTAACTTATTTAATACAGTACCATTACGTTTCTTCTTTAAAAACCTCATTCCAAACTGGTTTTGATAGCACTTAATGTTAGGAAAAGCATTAATAGGAAAACTGTTAGTGGGAAAGGTTGCGATAGTTTAGAAAATTAAGTTTATAGTTGTTTTAATTTTTTTCCTTGCAGTGTGGGAGTAGGGAAGGGGGGAGGCTTCACTTGCCTTTATTACTAAATGTTGATTTATGGAGTTATTTTTGTGACCAATTTTTGATGTAATGATTTTGATTATATCAAGGAGTACAAATTTGTTGTGAAGCCATATTAACAAAAGGAAAGGAAAATACTTGTTTCACTGATGAGGGTTAATTTCATATGAGTCTGGGAAGTTTGTTTTGTCTCTCAATTTGCACTTTTTTTTTTTTGTTTGTTTGCTTGTTTGTTTAAACGACTTAACTGTATCATCAATGCTAAAAATGTATATAGGAATTAGTAATAATTGTAGTTTGCGCTTTGTGATTTACTTGCCTCGTGGATGGAAGTTTACACCAAACTTCCTTTGATTTCTACTAAAGGAAAGGCAATTCAAAGTTGAATCGTGCCAGTAAATTGTATGAGTGTATGTTACCTCTGACTGGCTGAGACGTTTTGGAAAACCATCAAAAAGATACCAAAGGTTAACATCAACAAACGTTATTGAATAGCAACGATGCTGAAAATCACAAAGCAAAGTCTTGCTGTAATAGTAGTAATAATAATCATAATCAATAAGGCTGTAGCATCCGTTGTTAGGGAACTTACTTACTATATATTAAATTGCCAGTATTACACATCAACTTGTCTTTTGTGTTGAAGTTTGTTTGTGGTGAACCTCATTAGAGTTTGTGAGGCGCGGTGGCTTCATGGGTGGTGCGCTCAACTCCGGATTAAGCGTTCTGGGTTTGAGCCTTGGCCGGGAACGTTGTTTTGTGTTCTTGGGCAAGACACTTCACTCTCACACGAATTTAATGCTGGGGGTAACCCTGCGATGGACTAGCATCCCATCCAGGGGGGAGTAGAAATACTCCTAGTCGCTTCATGGTACGGAAACCGGGATAAGCTCCGACCTGGTGGGCCACTTGGCTTGTATACAGCCTTTACCCTACCAACCATTAGAAGTGATGTCAACTTGATCTGCTTATTCAAGTTCTCTGCAAGATTAGGCCCTTTTCTGGCATGAGGAAAGTGTTTCAATGACTTCATTGCAGGGGTTCCGATCCGATCTATTTCTTCATGGGTACCCGTTCTCTCTTCCAACATATATAAGGCTGTTCTATACTGGAGCTCTTCCAAACAGATGATGACCCACGTGCTGTAAAATTTCTAGGTGTGTTTGTTTTGGGGGGCGGGGGAGGAAATTACGTCACACTGATGGTTCCCAGGGTCTCTCTTCTTCAAGCTCTCATGGGGCGGGAAGGACAGATCCCCGCTAGGAACTATATGAAACTTGTTTCGAGAGCTGCTAAATCCTTAAAATCTCCTGCTGCCAAAACGGGGGCGCTTTCCATCCAACCAAAATTCAGAAAATTTCAAAACAGGGACAAATGGTGCTGAAATTTCCTGGGAGAGTTTTCTGGAGATTGTTGATCTTTTGAAAAACGAACCAGTCGACCAAAAATTTCAGAAATTCCGGGAGAAATATCAGACGGAACGGAAATTCCCCGGAAAAAAAATTCCGAAAATTTAGATATACCCCGCGAGATTGTCCTCAGTTCTCCGGAAATTCCGAAAAATGCATACACTACATATGTTTTTTTAACCCTGGAGGGATGGAGTCTTCAAAACAGCCAGATTCTATAAACAACTTTTATTTCCGAGTTCTAGCTTGTCAATGGTAAAGTGGTCACTAGTAAAATGAAATTTCGTGGAGATGCTTTTGTCAAAGGTGAACTTTGTCCTCTTCAAGAACTGTTTCGTGGCTCTCTGACAGGGTAGGAATTGGAAGAATGGATGAGAGCTGCAAAACTCTTTGTTTATAAACTAGTATCAGTTAATTTACTATTCGTAACTAAAAGTATTTATCATTAGAAGACTGAAGTATTGGATAATGTATCTCTAGAGTTTTTATTGGCTAAAGCCTAAAGGGCCATAGGATATGTTAATTGGTTTCAAAAACTCCATAATTTTAGCAGTGAAATCAGGATATATAACAAAGTTCCCTTTTCTTGTACCCTTAATTCCCGATTCAACTCCCTTTCAAGTGGTTTATACCTCTTGGTGCTTTTTTCTCAGGGACATATACTTAATTTTGCAAACCGGCTTCCAATTCCATCCAGTTCTCACCAACCCCCCTCAGGAATGAACTCCTCCTGCCCTCCNTGTCCTCTTCAAGAACTGTTTCGTGGCTCTCTGACAGGGTAGGAATTGGAAGAATGGATGAGAGCTACAAAACTCTTTGTTTATAAAACTAGTCTCAGTTAATTTACTATTCGAAACTAGAAGTATTTATCATTAAAAGACTGAAGCATTGGATAATGTATCTCTAGAGTTTCTATTGGCTGAAGCCTAAAGGGCCATAGGATATGTTAATTGGTTTCAAAAACTCCATAATTTTAGCAGTGAAACCAGGATATATAACAAAGTTCCTTTTTCTTGTACCCTTAATTCCCGATTCAACTCCCTTTCACGTGGTTTATACCTCTTGGTGCTTTTTTTCTCAGGGAAATATACTTAATCTTGCAAACCGGCTTCCAATTCCATCCAGTTCTCACCAACCCCCCTCAGGAATGAACTCCTCCTGCCCTCCTCTTCCCTTG